GTGATAATTTCCAAAAACTTTTGATCCCTACTGTATCTACATGAAATAAAAAATAATCAAAAAATAAATTAATAAAATGATAATACTATAAATAAATTAAAATTTTCAATATAAGTAACAAAATTTTATTATTGATAATAACTTAATAATAGTAACAAAGATTTGAACGGAAATGCTTGACTTGGTAATTATTTTAATATTATTTCTCATTCGGTTGAATATTTTCTAATTCTTTGCAGAAATAAGACGATCAAAATTTCAATAAATTAGAATTTGCAGTAAAAGATTCTTCATTATTTTAATGATTACATTGTAATCATCTTTGTCATCAAGAAGCTCAATAAAGTTTTGAGATAATTTGTCAAAGACATTTTCGTCGAAAAAAAAGGATTAAAAAATGAAATTGTGTACATCAGAGTCATGGGGAAATGGACCGAAGTCCGGAGCGTAAAGAAATATCGTGATATGTGATCAAAAAATCGGACAGGCATCCTTTTCAAAAGTTCCTTTACTACGCTCCAGACAATAATCATTATTTGTGAAACGTTTCAAATTTGATATTATAAAAACTTAACTTAGATACTTTCTTTATAATAACGATATTAAATTAGAAATTATATCACCTCTAATGATTAGAATGTGGAATAATTTATTGCATCAAGTATTATTTAATTAAAAAAAAAAACTAACTTTATTTTATTTATTTTTTAATTATAATAAAATAATTAAGAAATAAAAAATTAAATTATCTAAATAATATTAAATTTATTAATAAATTCTATAGTGTAAATAAAAGCATGTTTTTTAGTATAGACTTTAGATAATTAAGATTGTTAATGTGTTTACGAAAGTCTACTTTTTTTCATCTATTTTTAAATTCAATTAGTGTAATTATTGTGAGTTTCCTTGAAAAAACAATAAAGATTCAATGCATTCAACCAAAAAAAATAAATTTTTAATAATATATAAATAATTCCATAATTTTTTGAACATAAATATTTTTAATTAATATTTTTAACAACTACTTTATCTTATTTATTATTCCTTTTAATAGTCTATTTGCATCTATATACCCATTTTCTTTTGCTTTATTTAGCCAATAGATAGCTTTTATAATATCTTTTTTAGTCCCACATCCTTCATAATAGAATTTTCCAACCTTATATTGACCATAAATATGATTGCATTCCGCAGCTTTCATATACCATTCAAATGCTTTCGCTTGATCATCGCCGTTTGCAAGACAATTTCCTAAATTATACTGTGCTCCAGGATTTCCTTGTTCAGCAGCCTTTAAATACCATTTAAATGCTTCTTTTTTATTTTCAACTACACCTTCGCCATTGCTATAACAAAATCCAATATTACATATGGCACCAATATTTCCTCCAAGAGCAGCTTTCATACACCATTGAAATCCTTTAGTTACATCTTTTGGCGTTCCTATTCCACATTTATAACACCAACCAACTAAACTTTGTGCAACAAGCATTCCTTTTTCTGCGGATTTTAACCATAATTCAAATGCTTTCTCTTCATTTTTTTTGACACCAAATCCATTTTGATAACAATACGCTACACTAATTAAAGCTATAAACGACCCTTCGTTAGCAAGTTTAGAGTAAATCTGAAAAGCTTTTGCATCCTTGCCGACACCAACACCTATACCGTCTAAATGCATATCTGCAAGAGAGATGGATCCAATTTCTTTATTTATATTGTATAGTTTCATTAAGGATGGGGAATTAGAGGATGAGGTATTAATTATTTCATTGGCAGCTATACTAAAGAATTTAAATGCCATTTGATTATCAATAATGGTGCCAATACCATTCTTGTAAAAAAATCCTATTAAACTAGAAAACCAAGAATGTGAGGGATAGCTAATCATCTCATATAGAATTTCAACTGGATTCTTTTTGTGTTTTATGATATAATTTTTGACCATAATTGGTTGAAATTGATTATCTTGTTTTTCATATGAATCAATAAAAAATTCAAGTAAATCCTTAATAAAAGCAGTAACTTTTGCTGACTTATCAATAAAGGGAAGAAGAAAATGAACTTTTGGTTCTTCATCTTGTCTTTAATAAAGAGAATTTTATAATTAAGAAATATTTTCTTGGATTCAAAAAACACGAAAAATAGAAAAAAGAAATGTTATTTACATATTTTGTTTTTCCAATTTAACAGAAGTAATTTCATTTGTAACAATGTGAAGTTGCGATTGAATTTCATCAGAAATATTTATTTCAGAAAGATTTTTGACTACCTGAGAAATGTTTGGTCGTGAATTTCTATTGTGATTCCAGCAATCTGTCAAATAGATTTCAATTTGTATAATTTATTATGCAAAAATATGAATAATTTAATTAAATTGTTATAAATTTATACCATTGTATATTTCTTTGTATTTAGGAGGTGTTCCAGGCATAACCATTTCTCTTTTTCCTTTTAGAATATTATTTAACAAATCCACATTTGACAAAGATTCCATTTCGAAAGGAGGATTGCCACTAGATATTTCCCATAGAATAATTCCCAAACTGAAAATATCCGAACTCTTATTTTTACCAATTGTGTTAAAAATTTCCAAATATTGAGGGTCAATATATTGAATTGGGCCAAGAGCATTTGTAAGTAATTTTAATGATTCAGGCATCATTTTCGTTAATCCAAATATATTAAATTTAATGTTCCCATTATGAATAAGAATATTTTCAGAATTCTAATTAAATTATAAAAAATTAAAGAAATTAAAAATAATTCATTTTGCGTACTTTATTTTTAAATAAGAAAATAATTACCAATCTTCCATGAATAATATCATTAAAATGTAGAATTTTTAAGACATTGGCAATTTGTTTTGCAAGATTTAATTTCGTGTTCCAATCCAGTTTTTGGAAATTTGTTTTTAAATATTGACGAAGAGAATCATTATTAGCATATTCAAGAATAATCATAGAATTATTTGTATTCCCTATAAAATATTAATATCAAATAAATAAATAAATTAAAAATTAATTGTCAATGTTTATTATTTGTAAAAAATATATCTTACCTTGGTTAGTAATGCCATAAAATCTAAGAATACTATCGTGAATTCCCAATTTTCGATGCCTTTTAATCTTTTCGATTAAAAATAATAAAAAATTGTAAAAAAAAATATTCAAATAATAGAATAAAAAAAAAGTTTAATTTATAAACTTCATTTATCAAATCGTCCAATGTAAATTTATCATTTAAAGAAATGCATTTTAAAGCAACAGTTTTTTGAGAAGTTTTAAAAGTGGCTTTATAAACATTTCCACTAATAAATTTGACATTTTCAAATTCAGAATATTGATAAAATGGTATATTTTCTTTTTGAAGAGTTTCTTCAATAAACAAATTATTCATCCAGATTTCCCATTCTCTTAGTTCGTTTGTTTTTTCTTGGGACATGTTTATTATTCAATTGAATAATTGAATTATGCGATTTTTTTTTTTTGTTTTCCAACGAATCTTTCTCGAACTTTATAAATATTATTCATTCATTGAAACTAACTAAAAATGTTTAATTTCCCATCGTTGCCCAAGTTGTATTTGCCTATCAGTTCCTAAGGTGACCGATTAAAAATATTTATAATTATTAATTTCACTCATTATCATCCTTTTTCACTTCTTCCTTTCCAATAATTTTTTAAATTCATTTTTAAAATTAATCATTCTATTGGTTCATAATAATCACAATTATTGTTGTCCCGAAAAGCATGTTCTTCAAATTGACGTTTAGGATTACTATACGCATACATGTAATGTTTTATTATTGATGATGATCTACTCAATTAGGCACTTTGTAATATATAATATCTATTTTAATTAATCCATTATAATTTTGCATTTAATGATTAACGTCTTGTAATACACATTAAGATTTCTTTTATTTATATAAATATAAGAAGAAATGATTTTATATCTATTTTGACCATTTTAAAAAAATTCAAAAAAGAAAATGAAAAAATTTAATAGTAAAAGATAAAATATTTTTAAAGGGTGAAAATTCCGATGAACTATATTTAATTTATAAAATTCTTGTAAAATAAAAATATTTTCAATTAATCTGTAAAACGATTTTCATCTACAAGAATAATCTAAAAAATCATCATATACTTATCTGTTTTTGTAATCGATTTACCTACCTCGTTTTATAAATGTTTACAATAAAAAATATTATTTTAATGTCACATCATAAGGGATCATAACTTTTCTGTTCTTTAACTCGTAATCCATTGTCCACTTTTGCTAAAAATATATTATTTCAAATCATCCTTTTCCTATAACCTCCCTTTCTTCTATATTTAGTTGAGTGTCATGAATAAATTTAAATTTACCCATTGCGCCATTACACTACCAAACAATAATTTATGACATTTCTTTATACGTAAGGTCGAAATTTTTTTCTAAAAGAAAAAAAACGCCGAACGAGAATGAATATAATCTATATTCAATTATATATACATATACTGTATATTAAATAATTTCAATACTCAATATATATACTCAATTAATATAATTAATAATTATATTATTAAAAAACAATTTTAAAATATTTTTTTCTAAAAAAAAAACCAAACAAAATCACCTCGTTTTCAATTCTTTTTATCCAAAAAAAATCAACGTGTCAACAAGGACTTTATCGTGTAATGTGGTATCAATCATCTGATATTAATACGTTATCCAATAAAATAATTTTTTACAAGACACAATAATGCATTTACTAGATTTATTTAAAAAGAAACGAATAAATTATTCGTTATGCATATTTTCAACAACAATTTCTTTAAAACCAATCAAAATAAATTTGTGCATATAGGTGCATAATGTACAAAAATTAAATATCGAAATTTCTCTATAACAACATATTTAATTATCCAATTATATGCTACTAATAAAAGTCGAAGTGAAAAAATAAATTTGAAAGGAAAATGCTTTGCTAACTATCTCTTCGACAATCTCATATGGCTTTATCCCGAAAGCTTACCCGGTTGTTTTCCCGATTACAGGTGAAAGATAAAAATGATTACTTTTTACGTTCAATTTTTTTTTTTCGATTTTTATGTTTTTGAAATAAACACGTGCTTTAACTAATATCTACTTTAACTATTAGAAACCAAAATCTCGACCGAAACAATTAAAAATTAATACCTCAGTAAACTTTGGGAATTCAGCTGACGACGGCGACGATCAATTGCCAACAACTCCATTCTTTAAATATTACAAATCACCATCATCTTCTTCATTATATAAATCACCTTCTTCTTCATTATATAAATCACCTTCTTCTTCCACCACTTCGTTATATAAATCACCTTTTTCAAGTCATCCATACTCACCTAGACCAAAATGTTCAGACATAAAATTTCTTATTCCACCCGAAATTTTTATAGAAATATGTTTACACCTTCCACCAAAAGATCTTTATACACTTTCAACAGTTTGCGTATATTTTCGAAACATGTTATGGTCAACTTCAACTACGACACAAACCATTTGGGAATCGTCTAGAACCCAATTTTTATCATATCCAAAATTACCTCCACCATTTGATATGACTGAACAAGAATATATTTGGTTAACCATATTACCTAAAAATTGTCAACTCTGTTCGAAACCTTATAAACCATATTTATATGATATTTGGCCATCTAGAATTATCGCATGTGAAGTATGCTTTCGACAGAATACCATTCATACCATGTAAGATATTTAAGTTTCGTTTTTTTTTTTTTTTTTGCTTAATTTTGATGAAATTTATTAATAATTTATAATGATTTCTCTTATTTCTTATTTCTTATATAATATATAAATATTATATAAATATATGATTTATAGAAAGGACGAAAGACCTAGATGTATGCCAAAAGAACTATTCGGATGTATTCCGTATACACGATTCTTTTATTATGAAATTTTTATAATTTATTGGATTCCAGATATAGAGAGTACAAAATTAGAATATAATTCATTAGATAAAAGTCAAAAAATAGAATGGGTCAAAGAAAGAAAAGAACAAGTTATAAGATCTCGAGATGAACTTCGTTATTACTTTCAACAAGATTATCAAGAAGTTTATAAATGCGGGGTGTTTAATCCTAATGCCAAACGGACTGTACCTTGCAAAAAAGAAACAATGGTTCATTAATTTATTATTATTTTTAATTTTTTTTTTTTTAAAAAAAAAGACAATAATTTAGAAGCATATGTTATTTAAAATTACTATTTATATTTAATATTATTTAAAATTATTTAATGATAGAAATTTTCCTTAATAAGTTTTATTCTTCAATCATAAAAGGAAAGATTTAAAGAATAAAATATTAAAATGTTCAGTTTTGTTTTTTAAAACAATTCTTTTAGTTAATCTCTGTTTATATTCTAATAAAACTTTGAAATTAATGAATGCCTTGTGACTCGTTGTATGCCTTGTCGAACAATTATTTTTGAAATTGGTAGGTACGAATAAGAATACATTATAACAGGTTAGTAAGGTTTGCATGGAACAACTTTAATATATTAATGATTGGTCGAAAAGTATGAATACTGTGAAATATAAACATGTATATAAATACAATAAATTTTTGATTTTTTGAAAAAAAATTGTTTAGTCGTCATTCTTTCTTCCTAAACGTAAAGAAATACGTGTATATATATATATATATATATATATATGATTATTAGCTCTCTTTAATTTATGAAATTTTCTCAACGTTATAAATAGTCTTTATACGTTCACAATTCCAAAATGATTTTTTCACATTTAACAAAATCGCATATTCGTCAAAGTAAAATTTTAAGTTTAATTATTTTAATTTTGGTATTAATGAGTTATATCGATTGCGTTCCCCTGTATCGTAAAGATATATTTTCATCAAATGTAATGGCCAAAAAGAATCAAGATGTATATATTTATTTTTGCTTTTTTTTTTCATTCATTCTTGGAAATTTTTTATAATTTTTATTGATTAATATTTTTTTTTTATATAAAATGAAGGAAATATTAATGGATAGTCAAGATATGTACGCACGTTCGTCTCATATAGATTGGAACGATAGTGAATTAGATGAATTTGATTGGACAGAATGGACTCGGTAAATTTTTTATTTTATTTTATTTTTTTTATTTTATTTTATTTTTTTTATTTTATTTTATTTTTTTTATTTTATTTTTTTTTTTATTAATATTTATTTTTTACTCTTAAAATAATAAAGATCTCAATAGAAATATTCAAGAAATTAAATTCGTGTCACAATACAATATATAATATATGACCGATCATTTCATTCATTAATCAACTTTGTTATATAGCAATTCCATTTTTTTTTTTTGATTTTTGTAGTTAAGATAGTTTTCTTTTAAATTGTACTTTGTTTAATTAAAATATATGAATTTACTTTACTCAATGTTGGACCGAAATTCGCATGGCAAACATGTGAATTGGTGTGGTAAAATAATATTATTTTTAGGCATTTGTGTGAAAATTATTGTAAAATATTAAGTCCGAGAATAAGACTATTATTATCATTCGACTTTCAGAAAAAATAATAATAATAAATATTTTGTCTTTCAATAATAACAAATGGTTTAGGATATTGCTTTTTGAACAGTTTCTTTCAAAATGAATTCCTCAATTCGATAATGATTTTGATTATTATTTAGTATTTGTTTGTTGAAAAATAAAAGTCATGTCATCACAATGGTGTAAAATTTAAAGTGATTCTATTTGCTATATCATATCGTTACCATATTAATGCATGACGAAGACAATTAATGTTGTACGACAAACATGATACTGTTTTTTAAAAAAATAAATTCTTTGTCAATTCAAAATATTTCCAAAATAAATGGACAAGTGGAAACGACGGAATAGATAAATTTATTCGTGATGCAGATGGATATTAAAGAGATAGAAAAAAAATGAGTTTTACAACTATATACTTAGCTATACGGAATGGGATATTGGTAAAATCAACAAAAAAATTTTTAAGCAACAGAAAATTTATATGGTAAAAATCAATAAGTAATTATATTTGCCAATTAAATAATACATTGATTGTAAATAAATTATTTAGATTTCAATGCAATAGATGTTTATTATTACACACACAAATATATGATGGTTTTCCTTCAAACCAATGTATAATTTTCCAAAATACATTATAAAAGTTAATAATGTTGTACTTTTAGAATTAAGATGATTTTTTCTTTTAAATTAGAAATATTTTTGATTCGTCTTACTAATAAATATTATATTATATATACACACAAATTGTATATCAGTCAACTTCTCGATTTTTCAAGTTAAATGAAAAAAATTTTAAATTCTCATTGATACATAAATTTTAATTTCTTCCGTTACAAATAATCGAGCACGTGAAAAACTTTGAACACATAATAAATTGAGACATAAACTAATACCTCACTGTCATTGGGATATACAACATACATAGTGTGATTTGTTATTTAAATTTATAATAATAAAGGATCACTTTGATTACTAAAATTTCTTTGATATACATAAAACAAGTATAAATTTTCTTGATAAATTATTAAAAAAAGTATAATTAAGTTATTAAAGTTATATAATGTTTCACAAATTAAATTAAATTCATCTACGTACAGAGTTATTCATCCAGTGTTCTATAAATTTTCTAATCCATTACGATAATATAACTGGTTTTTATGTCCAATCACTAATGAAGATGATATAATCATCGTTATAATCAAAATTTAATTTTCAAAGCCAGGTATCAATCATATATATATCAGGGTTAAGTAAATAATTCTAAAGTTTCGAAATGTTTGAATTGCTGTAAGAGAATTCGCTTCATTTTCATTGTAGAATTGAAAAATTAAAATCCACAATTTTTAAATAATAATGTAATACTTATAAAATGCAATCATTATACATATTATTTATATTATTTAATTTATCAGATTTTCTAAATTAAAACATTGTAAAGTTTATGCAGTCAGGTATAATATATTGTGTATTGTGCATAGTATTATTAGTTATTAATTATTAATTAATTATTTAAAAATAAATTATAAAAATGTCTAAGAATCACTTTGAATGAATTTTTTGTAGTAATAAAAATTAAAGATTTAAGATGGTTGCAAATAATAAATTCCATGCTCACTACAAAATGCTCACAATACTCACAATATTGAAATTTATTCTTCAAAAGAAGATATATTTGCTGTTACAAATCATTGCAGCAAAAATAATGATAATTAATCTTTGAATATTCAAATTCAAAAAATTCAAAAAAATTTTGACATTATCAATTCACTTCTCAACCTTTTTTATCTTAAATTATTTTTATTATGATAATTTCAAGTTTTTGTTATATCCATATTTGAAATAAAAAGAAAGGTCATAAAATAAAAGTACAAAGCTAAAAATACAAACCAATCCTTACCCTTGTCAATATAGAATCATCACAGCTTCCATTACTTCTTTTATCAAAAATTTAACCACCACAAAAAAGAATCTTGGAGAAATAATAAAAGTACAAAGTTGAAAAATACAAACCAATCCTTACCCTCATCATGAAAAAGCATCACAACTTCTATCACTTCTTTATCAGAAATTTCACCACCATAAAAAAGAATCTTAGAAAAATAATAAAATAAGTGGAAATAATATAATTATATTATTTCCACTTGGTTTAGATTATGTGGCCTATATTATAATTTTGGCCACACTCGAAGGTGATGTATTTTATAGATTTGGCCACATGGATATACAATCGATCATCACATTGGTATGTGGTCTATATTATATTTTTGGGCATATTCAAATTATTATATATTGGATTGATGATCTGATGGATTTCTGTCATTAATCTATATGTGGTATATTGTATATCAAATTGGCAATCCTGGTTGATTTCAAGTATAGGATACTTCCTGATGTAGGTTATGCTACCTGATAGGTGATCCTCCTACAATATATTCTAACTCTTTTAGAAATCATATTCAATAATACTATTTGTATATCAAATTGGTGATTCTGGTTAATTTCAAGTATAGGACACTTCCCAATGTAGGTTATGCTACTGGGTGGTAGCTTTATCATGAGTTTAATGATCCAATTGTGATTTACATATTATTTCTAAGGCAAATAGCCAGAGTATATATTATCAGGTATATTGCAAACACATTATTGAAAATATTACATACGTGCAAACACGTTATTGGATATATTATATATACATTATTGGATATATTACATATATACTATCAGGTATATTACAAGCGTAATATATACATGTCATCAAATATATATATCATAAATATTATCAAGAAGTACTATCTATACTTGTATGCAAAATTATTTTGAAGTCCTGAAATTACAATTTTAGAAAAAAAAGTTGAAATAGTTTTTCATAGAAGACAAAATTATTTTACTTAAAACTTGAAATTTTTTGACCACCCAAATTTATTCTTTGATTAAAGATACATATAACTGAATACATTTTTTACTTCTATATATAGAATAGATTCTGCATAAATCTCAAAAAATCAAAATATCTCAAAAATCCAAAATCAATTTTGGGAACATGTATAGTACTATTAAATCAATTTTGCTTATGTTTAATAACACGTTATATCAAAGTATATCAAATTATTTTGTCCTTAGTTGATCCTAGTTATAGGTATCACCTAAATTCAAAATACTAAATTCCAAATCCCAAATTCCAAATCCTAAATTACTAATTGTCAAAATTCCAAATTTCAAATTATGTCAAATCCCAAATCCCAAATACTATGAAAATTGAATTTTGGTAGCTGAAATATCAAAATAATTGAGATTTGGGTGACATGTATAACTCTAGTAACAAAATATATGTTATTTACCTTTATTAGAAAATTTTTAAGGACAGATAATTTTGTAAATTTATGGGATATAAAATTTTCAAAAATTTTTACATAAATTTCTGTAAATTTTCATAAATCTTCAAAAAATTTCATTAATTTTTACAGAATATTATGAAAAGTTTTTTATAAATTTTCAAAATTTTTATTACAAATTATTACAAAATATCATGAAAAATATAATATTCCATTTAATAGACTAAATATGTAACATAAAATAATTTTGTTATTTACCTAAATGATCTTGTTTATCTTTTTTCAAACTTTTTCAAAAACTATTTATGAAATTTTAGAAAACAAAAATTTTCTGGAAATTTTTAAAACTTGTTTATTTCTTAAGTAAGAGTATTAGTTTTGACAAGGTTGAATACCTTTGCTATCTGTAAAATCTTTATTTGATATTGTGTTTCTGGATCATCTGAGACTCCAACAAAACTTCTTGAGTTCCTTTGGTTATGTTAAATTGATAGATTAGAATAGAGTTCCTATAAGAAAAGTTCTTAACATTTCCTTTCTTAATTAACACAACTCTTATACTATGATATTTTGTCTTTTTCATAATTTTTTTCTATGTAACAAGTAATAGTTCAGCAGGTTATATTCATAACTTTACTGTTCTTTACCTTTTTCATGGTTTTTTAAAGTTTCAGATAGTTGTTCAGTAGGTTATTCATAACCTTGCTATCTAAAAGTTAAATATTTTTAGAAGCTAACATACTTATTTAAAAAACAGTATATAGAAATTGAATCAGTTTATTCAATACTGTTTCTAACATCTTTTTTCTTTATTTTTTCTTAGTTTTGATAACAACAAATTTTTAGAATTTTTCAATTATTTTTACAAATTTTATTTTTTTTCAAATATTTATAATTACAAATTATTAGATTAGTATTTATTTTTTTCAACACTATTAAATTAATTGTTATTTTTTACAATATTTCATTAAATCTTTATTATATAAAAAAATATAATAATATAATAAAATATATATAATTGAATTTTTTAAAATTTTTTTATATTCTGTATACACATTTATTATAATATTTATAATATATAATAATATATAATATATAAAAATTAATAAATTTATCTATCTATCAATTTTTTCTTTCATTTTCTTTTGCTCTTATTTCTCTTTTTGCTTCTTCTATATTTCTCATTCTTATTTCTCTTCTTATTACTTCTTCTATTTTTCTCATTTTTTTTCATTCACATTTGATATAGTTAAGTTATTTTCTAACTCATCTTCATCAGAATCTAATTTTCTTAAATTAAATTTTTTGTCATTTTCCAATTTTTTTTATCAATATAAAAATTTTTTTTTTTAATATTTTAAAAATTAAAAAATTAAAAAAATTCGAATATTTTTAATACTTACTAGATTTCTTTTCAATCTCTTATATAAATATTTACTATCATTTTAATATTTTCATTATTGAAGTTTAAAAAACTTTCGCATAATGTTACAATAAAAGCTATTTGTTTATTAAAACTTTTGAAGTGTCCTTCTACACTTCGTTAATTATTTTTTTGCACCAGGTTTCATCTTCATCATTCATTATTTTTGAATATAACTTTTTATAACATTCTTTAACAATCGGCAACTCTTTTCAAGTTTTTATCTTACTTGAAGTTACTTTCATATTTATTTTCGGAAGACTCCTAAATACAAAAATATAGAATATCTGATTTGAATAGATAGTGCCTCTCTTCTGAACTGATGTTTTTCTTTTAACTTTAAAATAATTCAAAATCTTTTGTTAATTGTTGAGATATCTAGATTATAATATATTCAGTAAAACTTATTCTTCCTTTAAGAATTAAATTATAATAAAATGTCTAGTGATTATTTTTTCAACCTTCAAAAAGCTTTAAATTATACTTGTACACAAAATTATTTTGGAATCCTGAAATTATAATTTCAAAGAAAAAAATCAAATAGTTTTTTATAGAAGACAAAATTATTTTCTTAAACCTGAAATTTTTTGACCATTCAAATTTATTCTTTGATTAAAGATATATATAACTGGATACTTTTTTTACTTCCATATATAGAATATATTCTACATAAATCTCAAATAGTCAAAATACCTTAAAAATTCAAAATCAATTTTGGAAACATGTATAGCGTGAATTAAAGGAATACATTACTAATACTAAAAAGGTAAGAGGATAATTACATAAAATTATAACTAGTTAATTAAAACTTTTACATAAAAAGATAACTAATTAAAAAGGGATAAATTATAAAATACTATATTGGGAATTATCAAAATAAGAGATGGAATAATTAATAAAGTTTTGATTTGTTTTCACTAATAGATATTAAATTCTTACTAGTTAACCTTTTGAACTAATTTTGTTTTTCAAAAAACAATTTACAACTAGTAACTTGTAAACAGTTATTTTAGTTTATGAATTGAAAAAGATAATATAAGAAGAATAAAAGAATTATTTTAAGTTAAATAATAAAACTAATTAAAGAACTTAAGAATTTATGAATACAGGATTTAAATTATTGATTAATGATAAATTTTAAAAGTTAATTTAAGAAATAAGTTGAAAAGTTAAATATATTTATTAATGGTTTATAAAATAATAACAGAATTTTATGAAGTAGAATTTATTTTTGAAGAATATAAATTAGTAAAAAATTAATAAAATTTTAATACAAAAAATATAAGTTTATTACAAAGAAAATCAATAATCCAGTTACTTTAAGATTATAAAAATATTAATTCAATTAAAGAATTAATTACAATTAAAATTATTTTTTAAATTTCACTATTTAGAATTATTCGAATCTAATCTGAAATTATTTGAATCTGTTTTGGGGTGAAGAGAAAACTCACCCTTTTTATAATATTTGATTTATAGTAAGTTGGTTAGTAAGTTGGTCAAAATCTTGTTTAGTAATTGTGTTAATCAGTTGACTACTAAATTGATCAATTAGCTGGCCACTAAATTGATCAGTAAATTAACTAGTAACTAGGTCACTATAATCTATATTATTGATTTACATATTTCGTATTATACTAATAAATACTAATTATAATTAATAAAATATACTAAAAAATTATACTAATAAAATAAATAACAAAATAAAAAAATAAAATAAAATAATAAGAAAAATTATTAAGATGGAGGAAACTCATGATAACAACATATAACATATATTATGTGTTATTTTTTGTGTAATATAACTAATAATTTTTTCAGAATAATTTTTTTGACAAAAGTGATCTACATTCTAAAACAGAATGGAAAAATGTAATTTTTTTAATTTGAATATATTTGTATCTTATACAAAACAATGGGAAATATCAAATTTGAACTAGATCTATTAAACAAGAGAACATTAGACTTTTAGCTGAGAATACTGAACTTAGAAATAAGAATGTTAAATTAAGACAAGATTTAGAAGAAATTATTATATATAGACTTAAAAAGAAATTAGAATCTAAGAAAAATCATAAATTTCAAGAAAAATATATTTTAACAACTCAGATACTTCTCAAAAAAGAACTTATAGTTAAATATTATCTCTCTTTCTTGAATAGATCAAAGCTTGATATTTTCTTTCAAAAATGTCAAATTACATTAGAGGTACAAGGGGTTCAATATTGATTTCATTATACTAACTAGTATAAAGATGTCAAAAAACTTGAAGATATTGTTAATTGTGATTGAAAAAAAGATACATATATCAAGATTATACATGTTCCCAAAATTGATTTTGAATTTTTGAGATATTTTGACTTTTTAAAATTTATACAGAATCTATTTTATATATGAAAGTAAAAAAAGTATCTAGTTATATATATCTTTAGTCAAAAAATAAATCTGAGTAGTCAAAAAATTTTAAATTTTAAATAAAATAATTTTGTCTTTTATGAAAAACTATTCAATTTTTTTTCTGAAATTGCAATTTCGAGATCTCAAAATAATTTTATGTGCAAGTATAATCAAGATAACAGAATTTTTCTTTTTGAGATATAGTACAATAAAAAACCAGAAATTATTCTCTTTCAAAGAATACTAAAAATTAAAGAATTCGTAAATCAGACATCTTCTAAAAATAATTTATAATATATAACTTTAACAGTTATTAATTATATATAGTATGATGAATAAATTATTTTTTATGTTCATTAAACTTGCTCCATACAAGTGTATATATTAAAAAAAGCCAACCAAATATATGTTAATATTACTTATAATTTTTTTCATCAATCGTATCTTTAATTGAAGTTATAAATGTATTAAACATAATTTTTTTAGGAGTTGTACGATATCCCTCTTCATCAGAATTATTAAGAAAAGTTTCAATATCAATATCATCCTTATAATTTATGATATCAAATATTTGTAATATAATATTTTTCACATAAAATATTTTTTTTAAAACTAATGTAAGAGGTTTAGATTTTGTTAAATAAATTGAAATTTCACAAATCTTTCTTCTTTGAATTCATGTGACATGTAACAGTTTACATCTGTTGACGTAATTTACCGCAGTAGTTTTACGTAGACTTATTTCTAATTTTATTTTTATTTTTCTTTCTTTTTCTATTTTTCTTTTATTTATATTATTAATGATTTCACATGAAGAATCAGGCTGAAAGCATGTTATAGAAATGTGATAATCATTTTAATCTATTTTTGTACATGTGAATTATATCTATTATTTCTATTTATATTCTTATTAATTAATTCACATGTATCTTTTTATTCTTTTTATATTTATATTATATATTATGTTGCCTATTCTGGAAAGGTTCTATGAACCTAAGATATGTAATAATATTTATCTATATTTATAATTATGTATTTTTATCATTATATAAAGGCATAAGAAAATAAAGAGGCAAGCAAGTTCTTGTCAATTAATTTATTTTTATAATCTATATTTTGTTGAAATAATATTTGTTGATATTATTTTCATATAATAAATAGTTGTTGCTATTTATTTGCTCATTATAAATTAACGAATTAGTAGATTCGTTACACTTGGTAACAGTGGACGTTAAAACTTTTACCCAACTTAACCCTTTTGTTAATTTCTGCTTGAACAAATTCAATCTTTGTTTTTCTTTGCTTAGTTGTAGCAAAGCAAACTTTTGTTATTCAGAACCAGCTGAATAAAATCCAATCTATAATATATTAATTTCGTCATTCCGTCGTATGATAATATCTTTTTTGTACGTGGTAATTCACAAAATGGTATATTGCTAGCTTATATTTAGATTCTTTAACTTTGGTGATAATAATAATAACCCAGAAGACAACTAACCTACCTCAGAAAAAGATTTAACCTCTGAAAACTTTGAGTCAGATCAACTTTTTACTGAAGCTAAATTACGTTTATATAGAAACTGGTATGAATGTTGCCTATAAGAAGCTTCATCTGAAGGAGATCCTAATTTTCAAGATTTTGAGTCTTATTACCATTTCCTTGACTTAACCCGACTTTTAGAGGAAGAATTAAACCAAGTTCACACTCAAGTCACTCAAGAACTTGTCCAGAGACAATTACAAGAAGTTCAATCAAGATTAGCTATATAATCACAATCAACCCCATTAGAAACCTCAAACCTATTCAAATTTACATCTACTCAAGAAACCCTCTAGACTTTTAATTATAACGAGGAAGAAGAGTATAACTCTGCACATATTTTTCCTGAAGAAGTTTATAGTGAAGAAATCTCCGAAACCCAATCTCAATTACCACATCACTGTAAGTCGCAGCAACTGCAGCAACCATACGAAAAACCTCTAACCCTAACTTATTTTCCTACTACTTGAACCCCCGTTCAAAACCTTCTACAAGTAACCTACCCACAAGGAGAAACTTTTGCTGAAAGCAGTAGAACTTCATCATAACTCACTGAACTCCAGCAATTTATTATATCTCTTAGTGACGATGACAAAGACGCCAACTCGGAAGAAACCCAAGTAATAAATTCTGAACCTACCCATGAACCAACAAATCTAGAGAAAGAAGTAGCAAGTGTACTTGCTACTCTAGCTAATTTATTTGAAAACCTCCGACCAACCCAACCAGAAACTCAAAACTTACCTGAAAACTTTCTCCAGAGAACCACTGATCTTCTGTGAATCCAAGAAGAAATCGAATTTATCCATCACCAAGACGAAGCTTTTCCAGAGATCCAACTTGCCGAAAATAATCCTGAGAATCACAATTATAATATTTTAAATTTTAATAATTTATTTTAATTTTGGGAATCAAGAAAATAATAATTTACCTGGTCTTAACTTGTTTAACACCGATCCTACCTTCGAAAATTCTGAAAATATGAATCAAGATCAATTTAATATACTAGTTGATACTTTGACTGAACTAACTGCTCAATTGGACAACAATAATAATACTCATACCTTACCTATAACTGTTCCACTTTTTTATAGTTGTCCACATGAAAATATTAATTCATGGTTCATCACTCTTGAGAATATTTTACCACTCGAGCTATTATAGAGGATGTAACTAGAATTCGATAAGCCGCTACAGGAATGAAAGATGCTACTGCATCTTGGTAAATAAATAAACTGATAGCTGAACCTGATATCACTCAAATTTGGAATGACTGGGATGCATTTAAAATCAGTATAAAAAATTCATTTCAACCTGAAAATTATCAAATATATTTAAGAGATCAATTAAAGAGACTTAGATAAAATAGTTCTGTACGTGACTATGCAACATAATTTAGAAATTTAGTGAAACAAATAGAAGGAATGCATGATCTTGACTAAGTTAGTTATTTTATTGATGGATTAAAATCAAATATAAAGATGGAAATTAAGTATCGAAACCCTGACACTTTAAATAATGCAATCGATATTGCTACTTGGTACGACACAGCTTTATGGGGAATAAATAAAGGGAATAATTTCAATTCATCTAGATATAATAATAATAAGGGATCTAGTAATTTTAACAATAATAATAATAATAGTGAACCGGAACCAATGGATTTAGATTCTATGAAAACTAGTTATCAAAAGAATAAACATGGCAATAATCATAACAATAATAATAGAAGCAATAATTATTATAATAATAATAACAACAGTAATAGTAATAGGTTTAATAACAATAACAAATTTAATAATAGTAGTAATCCCAACCAATGATCGAAAATACAATATTATAATTGTAAAGAATATGGTCACTTTTCAAAAAACTGTTCTCAGAGGAAAACCCAATTAAGAAGTCTCGAGGAAACCCTTAGCAACAATAGTATTGAATTAAATCAAACTGAAAAAAACCAAGAACGACTACTTCGATTTAATAGAAGTGTCAATGGAAAAATACTTGAATTTTACTTGATAGTGGTGTATCAAGAAATTTTGTTGATAAAAATTTTGTACAAAAGAATAACCTTTCTATCCTAACCAATAATATATTAACTATTGAATTGGCCGATAGGAGACAACAAGAAACAAACCAAAAAGCACATCTTAATAACTTTAAGATGGGAGATTACCATGCTAAATATATTAAAGCTCAAGTAATTGAACTCAATCATTATAATGTTATTTTGGGAAGACAATAGCTTTTTAATGCAAACCCTAAAATTAACTGGTGAGATAATATTTTAACTTTCTCTTTTAAAAAATAAACAATCACTGTGCAAGCTGATATCAAAAAGATGAAAGAACCTGAATGCAATTCTATTTTTATATCTCAACAACAATTACAAATATTCTTGATACTGAGGAATTATTTACAATACACCTGTCTAATCAAGAAGTTGAAATCACACCTCTTACCTCAGAAGTACAAAATATTGTATCTCAATTCAAAAATATTTTTCCAGAAACTGTACCTCAAAAACTACCACCCAAGAGAGCTCTTGATTATCATATTGATATCACACCTGGAACTGAACTACCATTTCGACCAATTTATCACATGTCATATGAAGAATTAAATGAACTCAAGAAACAATTGACAGAATTAATGGCCAAAGATTTTATTCGACCAAGCGTTTCACCTTTTGGTGCTCTGGTACTTTTTGTTCATAAAAAGGAAGGAACCATAAGGTTATGTATTGACTATAGAGCTTTGAATAAAATCACCATTAAAAATCGATATCCTTTACTCCAGATTGAAGAATTAATGAATAGATTAATAGGAGCAAAGTATTTTTCTAAAATTGACTTATATTCTGGTTATCATCAAATAAGAATTCATGAAGCTGATATACCTAAAATCACTTTTCAAACAAGATATGGACATTATGAATTTTTAGTAATGCCGTTTGGATTAACCAATGTCTCAGTAACTTTTATGACCTTGATGAATAATATATTTTGAGATGTATTAGATCAATTTGTAATAATCTACCTTGATGATATTTTGGTATATAGTAAAATCAGGAAGGATCATATCCAACACTTTCAAATTATTCTTCAAACCTTACAACAACATTAATTATTTGTCAAGCTAAGTAAATGTGAATTATTTAAACAACAAGTTGAATACTTAGGTCATTATATTTAAGATAAAGGAATTTCAGTTGATGAATAAAAAATTGATACTATTAAAAATTGAAGTGCACTTAAAAATGTTTTAGAAATTTGATCATTTCTAGGACTTGCTAGTTACTGCCACAAGTTTGTCAAAGATTTTTCAGCAATTACCACACCTTTAACTCAACTTCTTCATAAAGAACAACCATTTCTTTGGGAAGATAGTCAACAAAAGGCCTTTGAAAAATTAAAACAGCAATTAACATCTGTACCTGTATTATTACTTCCTGATCCTACCAAACTATTTACAATTACCACAGATGTATCTGACTTTGCAATTGGCACTGTATTAATTCAAGACCAAGGCAAGGGAGAACAACCTATTGCTTATGAGTCAAGAAAATTATCTGCTGCTAAATTAAAATATCCTGTCATGAAAAGAAACTTCTCGCTATCGTACATGCCATAAAAATCTGGCGTCCATATCTTGAAGGTCAAAAATTTTATGTAATAACTGACCATGTCACTTTGGAATATATTAAAAACCAACACAACTTTTTTAGAAGACAAGCCAGATGGCTTGAGGTATTATAATCAAATAATTTTGAAGTACAATATCAACTAGAAAAAACCAATGTTGTAGCTAATGCTTTATCACAAAAATCCCAACTTGCCACAATATCTACTATCACTACCAACCTTATTAATTCTAATAATTTATATCAATTATATCAAGCTGATAACCACTGGAATTTTATTTTAAAAACTCTTGAAAACTTTATCAAGCCAAACCACATGAGAAAGCTCAAGTTAAAAACTATTATTTACAAAATCAGCATATCTACCTTAAAGAGAATAACAGATTAGTTATTCCTAGAAATAAGAAACTCATTATAAAAATTTTACAAGAAAACCATAACAACCCTATTTCAGGTCACTTGGGATGTGATAAAATATATAAAAAAATTTCAAGAAATTATTATTGGTTACGAATGTCAAAAGATGTAAAAAAGTATATTAATACTTGTGATTTATGCCAGCGAAACAAAAGCTCAAATTAACAACCAAGTGGATTACTACAAACATTACCTATACCTGTTAAATGATGGGAACAGATAACAATGGATTTCATAGTCCAATTATTCAAAACCTCACGAGGCTATGATGCTATCACTGTTTTTGTGGATCGTCTATCTAAACAAAGTCATTTATACCATGCACAACTAATATTACTGCTCCAGGAGTTGCCAAATTATTTTTCGATAATATTTTTAAATTACATGGCCTACCCAAAACAATTATTTCTGATCGAGATCCAAGATTTATCAGCAAATTTTGGCAATCCCTATTTAATTTATTAAATATCAAATTATCTATATCCACAGTTTTTCATCCACAAACAGATGGACAAATAGAAAGAATGAACAGAACCTTGAAAGAAATTTTACGAGTATATACAACATATCACCAGAATCAATGAGACGAATGTTTGCCTGCTACTGAATTCACTTATAATAATGCTTAACAATTATCAATCAAAATAACACCATTTGAACTTGACAATGGCCAACACCCACTTACCCCCTGGATTTAGATCCTCAAATTACTACTAATGTACCTGTCACTGAAAATACTTACTTTACATGGAAAAACAATATACAATATGCAAAAGATGCTTTAATGAAAGCTCAAGAAAATCAAACAAAATATACAAATAAAACCTGACAATACAAAGAATTTGAAATTGGTACAAAAGTTATGTTATCAACTGTTAATATTACAGATAATATTAATAAAACTTGTTCAAAAAGAAAATTAACTTCAAAATATATTGGACCATACAAAGTAATTGAGAAAATATCAACTATAGCTTATAGACTGGAATTACCTAACAATTTACAAATACATCCTGTTTTTCATATATTATTACTCAAACCTTACCAAGAAACTGATGAATTTAATTGAGAAATATCTCCACCTCCAGAAATAATTATTGATAATAATAATCAAACTGCTGAAGAATTTGAAGTTAAACAAATTTTAGATATAAAATATCAACGAAAAAGATCATTTTATCTTATAAAATGGAAAGGATATTAACTTCACGATGTCACCTGGGAACCAAAAGAAAACTTGAACCATTGTAAAGATTTATTAAAACAGTTTCATGAAACAAGATGAAACAAGGACATTTCATTTTTTTTAAGGAGGGAGGAGTGTAGCAGTTCTCGTTTGTTGACATAATTTACCGCAGTAGTTTTATATAGACTTATTTCTAATTTTATTTTTATTTTTCTTTCTTTTTCTATCTTTCTTTTATTTATATTATTAATGATTTCACATGAAGAATCAGGCTAAAACATGTTATAAAAATGTGATAATCATTTTAAGCTATTTTTGTACATGTGAATTATATCTATTATTTCTATTTATATTCTTATTAATTAATTCACATGTATCTTTTTATTCTTTTTATATTTGTATTATATATTATGTTGCCTATTTCAAAAAGGTTCTATGAACCTAAGATATATAATAATATTTATCTATATTTATAATTATATATTTTTATCATTATATAAAGGCATAAGAAAATAAAAAGGCAAGCAAGTTCTTGTCAATTAATTTATTTTTATAATCTATATTTTGTTGAAATAATATTTGTTGATATTATTTCCATATAATAAATAGTTGTTACTATTTATTCGCTCATTATAAATTAATGAATTAGTAGATTCGTTACATGACATATTCCTTAAAGAATTTAGCTGTGATGATCTATATTCTATTTGCACTCTGAAGTATCCCTACTATATGTAATTTTCTAATATGATCTTCTTTCATGTTGCATTCAATTGCAAGTTAGTTTAACATGTCTTTTAACATTTAACATATCTTTAACAAATCCATAATATACTTTATTCTAATCTGTCCTTCTCACGCATGTTCCACTTCTATAGTACCAAATTCTAAGTAATCTTTATGTAATCTAAAAATTCTATTCCCCTTTTGACCAATTTTCTTTCTATCATCTGTTGTCTTTTTGAGATTTTTCTTGTCACTAGAAACAAGACTCATCACTTCATCATAAATTAAATTGATATTTACATTGTAAAAAGTAGAATCGATAAAGTAACTTTAAATATTCATCTCATATTATCCTTCCAATTTTAAAGAGTCAAAAGAATTTTTATTTATTTTTCACAAAAGTAACATTCCTCAGTAAACACGATTAACAAAATCAAGATCAAAGTAAAATTTTCAATCATATTTATATCCATTTGATATAAATAGTTCAAAAAGAATTTCTCATAATTTTTCAAAATCATCAACTATATATTTTTTAATAATTTTTTAAGAGAATTTTTAAGTTCTAGATTATCATTAATTTTCGAGGTGTTAATTTCTTTCTATTCCTCTTTAGAAAAAAAAGATTTTGTGTATGTATCTGTTTCATTAACTATGAATAAGTGTAAGTAAGATTCGAATTTCAACTTTCATGTAAATTCATATATAATTTCTTTTACTCTATATTTACTTCTCAGTATCTACATGTGATTAAATTTCATTTTCAAGTATTTTTTTTTGAATTTTTTCAAATTAATTTTAACAGGTTCTTGATTATAGGTATTATTGTTAAATTCAGGACTACCATCTGATTTCATCTAAATTATAAAAGAAGAATAATCATACTAATAAACTAAGTTTGAGTAATTATAAACTTTAAAGTGTCATTTAGCTTTACCTTTTTTAATATTTTCTCGTGCAGGTTATGATCGTCATGTTGTTACCAGTGGTTCTTAGTTTTCTTGAGAACAAATCAGTATAGTGACTTAATAGTTCTTTTAAGAAGTTTATAATCCTTTTCCAAAGGTAAAACTGTTATTTAGTTGTTTTAGAAAATACCACTAATTCAATTACTTTAGAAAGGAAATCAGACCTTTTATTCAATTTATTCTAATATCTTTTCAATTTCATCATCATCTTTAGTATTAACATCTATCCATTAGTCATTTCTTAATTTCATCAACTTTAAATATTATCTCTAATTATCCAAATTAAATTTATTCCAAATTTAGGATTTATAAGAATAGTTTATAATTAATTTCATTAACTCCAGAATAATGATATTATACAATTATACAACTAAGTATTTAATCCCATAATATTCATTATTCCTTTGTTAATTACATATTTTATTATTTAATACAGTAACTTTTATTCAATATTTTTAATATTTATTATTTTATTAATTCAATTACAGGATAATTTTTACAAGTATTTATCTTGAAGTTACAAATTATAAAATTAAATTTATCAATTTTAAATAAGTTACAAATTATCAAAATTCAAAATTATAAAATTATAAACTAAAGAGAGCAAGGTAATTTTAGTCCCTTTTTATATCTAAATCTAATGATCTTCATTACTGTGCCATTACTGTACCTTACTGTGTACTACTACTATTGGTTACTATTCTTTTATATTATTTATTAAATATATCTAATACTAATTAATACTATATGTTAATAATTATTATTAAATAATGTTATGTGATAATAATTAATGTTATGAATTGATAGTTATATTTGTATAACTAAACATCACGTGAACACGTGATCTTGTACTACTATTTCGCAGCTAATTAATGTGTGTTACAGACTATAAATATTAACTAAAATTATTAAAGTATTACTATTTGTTACATAAATTAATATTTACTAATTAAATTTTAAATATTATTTTAAAAGATTATTATTAATTATTGCAGATGTTTTTAGTATTATACCATCATGATATTTTCATTCTGTAATAATGTTTTCTGCTCTCATCTTGATTTTTTTTATTTTCTAATATAATATAATATTTTTAATTATTTGACAATGAACTTTTATTGTCAATTCTACGTGATTTCAAGTTTGCGTGACTTATAACAAATATATTAGAGATGGTTAGAGTAAACATTGTAAACAGTATGAAAAAAAAATAGTACCTTAATACATTCCATAAAGTTAGCTTAATAACCTTCTCACTTTTAATAAACTCTATTTCTGCTTTGTTTAAAAGTAAATTATAATTCATTTAAAGTAATTCGTTGTAATTTTTGAAGACTTCCATTTCTTTTATCAAACAAAAAATATAATTAGTAAGAAAGAAATTTAGATTTTTATTTTCATAGTACAGTAATGTCTATTTTTTAAAAATATAGAAGGTCATGACAAACTAATAGTTTAATACAAGATAACTAATAGATCTCTTGTATACTACAGAAGGTTAGAAAGTAAGACAGACTATACTTGCACGCAAAATTATTTTGAAATTCCGAAATTGCAATTTCAGAGAAAAAAGTCAAAATAGTTTTTCATAGAAGACAAAATTATTTACTTTAAATTTAAAATTTTTTGATCATCCAGATTTATTCTTTAATTGAATATATACATAACTGAATACTTTTTTTACTTCTATATATAAAATAAATTCTGTATAAATCTCAAAAAGTTGAAATATCTCAAAAATTCAAAATTAATTTTGGAAATATATATAAGACAAACTAATAGATGATTTTCCAGTTGACTAATAGATCCCTAACTTAGTTTAGAATTTCTATTACAATAAAAATAACTAATAAATGTTTTATGATACATACAATCTTATTCTATACAGATACAATCTTATGTATAATATATCACCTGAAAGTTACAGTATAGCTTAATCACCTTCTTCTGTTTATCTTTCTCATTAGTTTTATTATTAATAATCTTCTCAAGCCCTTTTTTGATATAATTTAAGATCTTCTATTTATCGTATTCAAATCTTTTACATGATATACATCAATTAGCAAATTTGTAAAAACTTTACGATTCTGAAGAAGTGATTTGTAAGTAATCTTCAATCTCAGAAATAGTAGTCTCACAATAGGTATTTATAATAGTAATTGAGAAAAAAATATATAGGACATAAACAACAAAACATGTAATTATTTCAATATTAAAAATCATGTGAAGATCTTTACTCAATAATTCCTTAGATTCTACTTAAAATTCTTTGATAATAATAATAATAATAAAGAAAATTTTTTTAAGATAATAAAAATTTGTGATAATAATGATAGAGATTATTATTACAATTTAAATACCAGTAAAACTTATAAAAAATCAATATATATTAATAAATATCAGTAGGTTTAGTGTAAACCTTTAGTATATAGCTAAAGAAAAATAAATAAAATACTTATAACTTTATTAATAATTTTTTTACATTATAAATAAAAAATTTATTACTGTCATTTATACATTATTATATAACTGTGAATTCAAATTAATAGGTGCAGTAAATATGTAATAACTAATTATTATTGATTAGAGCAAATTATCTTGACTATTACATATTTAATATCTTCCCAACTTAACTTTGAAATAGATGATGTAGAAAATGTTTTAATTCCAACTATCATTTCTATTCCTCTATCATTAAAAATACTATTAAAAAAAGCATATATTTTTCATACCTTTTCAGTTCTTTTGCAAAGAGTATTATTAGAAATTTTTTCATCAATTTGTTTCTGAACCTCTTTATTAACTAATACCTAAGATGTTAACTCTCTATGTTTCAAATTTTTATAATAATATAAATATTTTGATAAAGCATCTCTAAATAAATAGTAATACTGAATGAGTTTTCAATTTGTATTTTTATTTATTGATTTTACTTGTATAATATTATCATTGAGTTATAAAAAATTCATAATATTTTTAGTATATGTTATACTAAATACAGAGATATCCTCAAAAGCACTGGAAGTCAATTCGTTAATAAGTTTTTTTAATATAGGAGAATCTTCTTTTTTAACCTACTTCTTTACTTTTTTGTTAGATAGTTTATTTGGAAATAATATATAATCATTAATACACTTTTGAGATATGTTTTCATGTATCTTGGTATTCTTAAATAGTGTAGAGGATATATCTATAAGATTATTGATATTTTGATTTCCGGACATACTATCAATTATAGACTTCAACTCTACTTCTTTTTTGCAATTGGGCTTTGGACATATTAAACATTTTTTGATAGAATTTTTGAAGTAGTTACAGTAGTATATATGTCTACAGACAAGTATGATAATTAGATTTTTTATTTCAAATAAAAAAAGTTCTTTAGTATAATAAGTATAAGTTTAGTTTAGGAATATTAATATTATACTTGTACGCAAAATTATTGTGGAGCCCCAAAATTGCAATTTTGGAGAAAAAAGTCAAAATAGTTTTTCATAAAAGATGAAATTATTTTACTTAAAACTCAAAATTTTTTGACCACCCAGATTTATTCTTTGATTAAAGATATATATAACTGAGTACTTTTTTTACTTCCATATATAGAATAGATTTTGCATAAATCTCAAAAAGTCGAAATACCTCAAAAATTCAAAATTAATTTTGGGAACATGTATAACAGGGACAATGAAAAAGAGGACAGAATAGAACAGATAGTGCAGAAGGTCCTGGCCCCGATAGCTAAAACATTACAAAGAATCGTGAAAAAAGAAAATAAGATGACAAATATATACTACAAGTAACCGAGTTATAATAATGAAAACAGAGAACAAAATACGAGAAATTGTAACAATGCTGACGATCTATTCCATTGTTACACCTGCAGTCAAACGGGACATATGTCACGAAGATGTCCCATGAGACTAGGATATCAGAGAAATCCCAATACTCTCCTTATCCAAGAACTAGCTAAAACTCAAATCAACACTACAACAAACTAATCTATACCGCAAGCATCCTAAAACAGTACAAATGGTAGCACATTCGTAACTCAAGAAGAGGAAATTGGACAACTCACTACGACTGACTGAAAAGATTTACAGCATTTAAACTGGTAGTTGCACCTCTAGAAGGTGAGCATGCGAATGATACAAAGCCCTCGTTCAAAACTGACGAAACAAAGATAATAACGGAGAGGTTAAGTTTTACGGATAAACAAGGTATGGCCTAACTAAAGCTCCTTATAGGCCTTAAGGCTCGTGAGCCTAGCGAGCTGAGCCGATCCAAGCTGAGCTGAGCCTGATA